GTCAACAACGTCATCGGCAACGTTGAGTACACAGATCACGTTGGTGACCTGATCCACGTGGAGTGAATGACTTGAATACAATGTGTATGCCAGTGCCACCGCAAATTTATTATAGAATGTATTTATGTATTTACCATTATATTTTAAGATATAAGATATTGTTGTTTTTGTAGAAATTATAATGTACATCTATGAAATATTACAGTATTAGAGTTATTAAATTTGTTAAATGTAAAGTACTTTTGTGCAACAATACTATACTTCAGCATCTAATAAATTACTACTGTGATTACGGTATGCGCACTTCTGTGTTTTTCTTGTAGTTTGAGAGTCCCGGTATAGCAATATCCCGTGTTTACTGTAGCGTGACCAGTCTTACTGTAGCTTCACGAAAGCGAAGAGATTTTAGAGTTAATTTTGGCCAGGTTTCGCTCTTCCGGCCCAGAACCCTTGAATATGTACACAAACACGGTTTATTGACCAGCAGTTGTAACAAGTACAAAACAATGTCATTTACAGAAAAGGAATTACACAATAGGCATCCGGTGAGTTATCACAGCTGCGGTCAACTTCTACCTACTCACGTCAATCTAGGCATCATTCACAAATCCAATCAGTGAACTGTTGTTCGTTCAATTATCCTTTGCCTTTGAACTGTCTTAATGCCAGTCAACAGAATAAACATATAAACTGTATTTTTAGGAAAACACTGTTTATTGTTATTACGGAAGTGCTTTACTCAGTGCTAATAAGCGATGTTATTTGTGTTTGATTGGAATAAGTTAGAATATGTATCATTCCATGTAGTGGGGGGCAGTCGCATTGATTTTGAGTCGCATTTCTTCAAGGTTTACAGTACTTGTCAAGCATACTCTTTGGTTACAATTTGTGACTCGACTGATTGTGTGTAAAAGTGTCGAATGTCATAATTCACTGCTCATGCTATGGGTCACTGCTGCTCGAGTGGTCATACGTATATATGTGTTCAAGCGATAGCTATAATTGTGTGAGTGGGTGCATTACAACAAAGTAAAATCCCAGCTGTGTCACAGAGGTATGGGGAGGTCGGGTAGTCTAGTGGTTAAAGCGTTCGCTCGTCAGACCGAAGAACCGGGTTTGATTCTCGACAGGGGTACAGTGTCTGAAGCCCTGATATTGTTGGAATGTTGCTGGAATATTGCGGCGTAAAACAATACTCACTCACTCACAGAGATCTGTACATCACTGTCTCTGAGCCAAGAGACCAGTGGTGGCATGAACAATGTATTACCCTACAGGTATACTACTACATGAATTAGTCAGGTCACACATTGTCACTCTATAATTCATTTTCCTCAACTCTTACACAAAGAATGGTAACCTGAGGAGCTATTCTACCCGGGTATCTCCATCAGGTGAAGTGAGGTGATATAGGGCTTAATGTCGCGTTCAAGATTAATGCACGTATATATCAACACCCCCATATGGGCATGCACGTGTGTGTGTGGCTGCTTGTACTAGTCCGGACTAATGCCGGTTTTATAGTGCTAGCCCACTGAGTACAATGAGATGCATGGATGCCCTCTCAGAGTGAGTGAGTTGGGTTTAACGCTGCTTTCAAAAGTATTCCAGTTATATCACGGCGTGTCAGCTTAATGTGGGAGGAAAGCCCGAAGTGATGCAGGTCTCAGACGTTTACCACTTCGGTGAAACCCACGAGCACTGGCATGGTGCTGACAAACCCAGAAACATAATTGGGGCGAACCGGGATTCGAACCCACAATCATAGGTTTCTGGCGTGCCCAAGGGACGCCACTCTGCACAGCGAATCGCGGCGCCTCAGACGAATGGGCCACCCATGCCCCCCTGAGACACAGTGTACTGATTCCGAGCCAACCCATCTCCGGGGAGATGCTCTATCTTAAAGACCACGGAGGTGGTCTATATCTCCATGGAATGATATTTTAAAATAATTAAAACAATATTTCTGTCAAATGCTTTATTATGCAAATGGAAATGATCATTTCCGAAGAAGTATCCCTAAATACGTAAATGAAATATTTTTGTTTCAACAAGTTCAAAGGTTCAATGGGTAATTCATTATTCTTCCAGCTTTAACAAAAGTTAACAAAGCAAACGCTTACATTTATCACAATAATTCATATGTATACAATGAAACGTTGTTTATATATATCATCATGACATTATGACATAACATGTATAACCTAGTGGGTAAATAAAGTTTAATATCACAGTCATCAATATCTCGGCTATGAGGTCAACATTGGCCAAGCTAATACCAACAATGTGTGCAGTTTGACTTTGAACATTGAGCGTGGATAAGTTTTGTTTACTCTTATGTAAGATTTTGTGACTCAAGAGCATGGAAATGGGACAGACAAATCAAGGATCTTGATCAGGATAAATCTGGTACACCCCTGAACATCAGGGAACCATGCAGGTAGCAGAGGTATCGTAAGTCCCCTTGGTCCCTAGTATGGTGACCTTAACCTTGTTGCTGGCGATCTATAGCCCCATTTTTATATTGTGTCGTACCTCAATAATCAGATATTTTTAATGTTCTACAACTAGTGTTAAGTCAATCTGTGATATATTGCTAGTTATTATACTTACCTCGTCGACAGTTTTATAAGTATTGTATAACTTGTTCAAGTCACATTACGGCTGATATATTGCCGACGTGACTTTAATGAAACTCACTCACTCACTCACTCACTCACTCACCCTGAACATCAGGTTGCAGCATGGCTCTCAGATGCCACTCAAGGAATTTGGATGTCTAAGAACACCTGACCATTCCATACATCATCATCTAATGCATCCTGAGCCAACCAATGGTCAATACAGTGAGCACCACTCACATACGGATAATAATCAAGCTGTTTTCATACAATAGACAGCAGAACCTGGTACTGCTTAGAGGCACAACTCTGCAGGGTTATTTAGGGGACCTAGGAATAAGACCATTGAGCCATCAATACATTCTGTATGATTGTATCAATATTATGCTGCATTATGGTAATTACATTTTTCCCCATGATACTAAAAACTCTCTGATACAATAAGTAGCATATGTTCGGAAGACTCCGTAGATTAATGAGCGTGTCATTTCGAAAATCTACAAACATTCATGTCACCTGACCTCAAATGGTGAATGTCTCTCACGTCATCCTTCTTTGTGAGACCCGTGAAGATCCGGGGTAGAATAGGTCTTCAGCAACCCATGCTTGCCGTGAAAGGCGACTAACGGGATCGGGTGGTCAGGCTCGCTGACTTGCCTAATGCATGTCATCGATCCCAATTGCGTGGATCGATGCTCATGTTGTCAATCACTGGATTGTCTGGTCCAGACTCGATTATTTACAGACCGCCGTCATATAGCTGGAATATTGCTGAGTGCGGCGTAAAACAACAAACAAACAAACCTTCTTTATGAGTTGCACACCGCCTTAGAGCAAGCGCATGATACTGCTACTTGTGCTGATCATATTCATTATCTGTCACTCAAACATTTACCAAGGCATGCTTAGAAACATTGTTACATATATATGCACACAATTGTAAGACAGTTGCAGCTTTGTCTAAATACAATCAATGGTTGGTCACAGCGTAACCGGCCTCAAGTTATATTCTCTCGACAATATATACCCCTTAGTGACCCAGACTTAAACATCACTTATCCTTTCTAAACTCGACTTTGGTTCAATCAACTATGGCGGAACCCTTAAAAGCAACCTTAGGATATTAAATACTATCCACCATCAAATTCTAAGACTTTGTCTTGTATCTTTCCGAACTTCTTTTGACAGTCTGTACGCTGAGGCCGATGAGACATCTCTTAAACCCCACATAAAACTATCTTTACAGCTTATCACAAAGTTATATTATAATAAGTCTAACCTGCATACAACATCGTGTTTAACCCCCTGAATAATCTGAATAATAAAATGTCATCTTTTATTCTTTTGGAATAATAATTAACCCTTTTAGTTCTACTGCCAATATTAAACTTGATAATTAATATATATATATATATATATATATATATATATATATATATATATATATATACTTTCCGCTTGGTGTCTTCTACGCATTGACTCAACTAACCAAATCAGAAACAGTATAAACTAAAACGTAATCAGTTTAAATAAAGTACATCTAATACTTACAAATCGAAATTAGACAAAATTTGCGTCAGCATACAGTTTTACTTGACATCAATCATTGAATTACATGACAACCTGGCTACCAGCCAATGCGACATCGTCCTTTGTTGGTTACCTAGCCATGTTGGAATCATTGGTAGCTAAATCAGCACTCAACAGATCTGGGACACCACTTCTGATACAGTAATAATTAAATAAGAGGAGTAAGATTGAACACAGTTTTAATAGGCTAGCGCTTAGCACTTAGACAAATAACTTACGCCTTGACCTTTAACTTAGGCGCGTATTTATAAATGAAATGTTGCTCTTTTTGAAACAATGTAGGTTCATGATCAAAATTTAGCTTATATAGCGGGAAAACTAAAAAGTTGCCGTTTCTAAATGTTCACTGAGTGGAATCGTGCGGTTGTGTGGCTGCTTTATTTGTGAACGGTGAAGATTCATTCTTCTTTTTAATTTAAGTTCTGTCTTTCCGATATACTTTTCATTGCATCCACTACAAACAATCAAGTTAAAAACAGTTCTAGTATCACAAGTCATATTTCATATCACAAAGCAACATTTCATTCATAAATACGCGCCTAAGTTAAATGTCAAGGCGTAAGTTATTTGTCCATTGTCACCTTTGTATTGTGACGTCGTAGTCTCCTAAATGTTATGACGTCACGTAACTATATGTTACTACTTCATGTCCGTTATTCAGTTATGGCCTGATGAGACTCGTACGTGGTACAAGTTGAAAGCGCTAGCCTATTAAAACTGTGTTCAATCATACTCCACTTATTTAATTATTACTATATTGTGCCTGAGAGTTAGAACTTTACTGTGCTTTATACATACATACATACATACATACATACATACATACATACATACATACATACATACATACATACATACATTTATATGTACCAAGTTCTAAGTCAAAATATCTCTAACTGTTTCAAATAATAGTGGACAACAACTATCCTACTTCATGCAAATAAACACATACTGTTTTCACTGAATACCAAGTTTGAAACAAGATACATTGAATCGCTGAAAGGAGTTGAAATGACAAGGTCCATTAAGAATATACAATATAAGTTAGGGAACATGACCCAATCTGCAGTACTTGCAGGCCACGAGGTTGGAGAAAGCAACGCCCCTTCGTCCTTCCGTCTCTGTTTGCGTATCTTCCGAGTTTTATATTGCTAAAGAGGATCGCCAAAGCATCGTTTACAAAACGGTGGATAATTCTTACTCGGCATTACGTCATCAAGAAATTACCGATTTAGGAAACATCGGCAACTGTCGTAGTTTTCACCGCAACTCTCACATTATACAAGGAATACCTTAATGGATTTAACAATGAACGCAGGGGACGCTGTAGTTATACTATCGCTGTCTTGATCTGACTAAAGGTATTATCCTGTAAACTATTATCATTGCTATCCAGTGTGTCAGGTCAGCATTTTGAGATACTAGGAGGTCAAACACACTTTGATGTCCTTTGAAGGCTGCCATCACTACGGGAGTCCACCCGTTCTGTCCTCTAGTATTGATATTTTCAAGGGGACACAAGATATTGTACTATGGCGTTGTCACCGCCAACGCAGGCAAAATGAAGTAAACTATCACCGTTGTTGTCCACCAGTGTCAGGTCAGCATCTTTAGATACCAGGAGGTCAAACACACTTTTATGTCCTTTGGAGGCTGCCATCATTACAGGAGTCCACCCGTTCTGTCCTCTAGTATTGACATTTGAAGGGGACACAAGATATTGTACTATGGCGGTGTCACCGCCAACGCAGGCAAAATGAAGTAAACTATCACCGTTGTTCTCCACCAATGTCAGGTCAGCATGTTTAGATACCAGGAGGTCAAACACACTTTGATGTCCTTTCATGACAGCCATCATTACAGGAGTCCACCCGTTCTGTCCTCGAGTATTGACATTTGATGGAGACACAAGATATTGTACTATGGCGGTGTTACCACCAAAACAGGCAAGATGAAGTAAACTATTGCCATTTTTGTCCACCAGTGTCCGGTCAGCATTTTTAGATACTAGGAGATCAAACACACTTTGATGTCCTTTGACGGCTGCCATCATTACAGGAGTCCACCCATACTGTCCTCTAGTATTGACATTTGATGGAGACACAAGATATTGTACAATGGCGGTGTTACCACCATAACAGGCATTATGAAGTAAACTATCACCGTTGTTGTCCACCACTGTCAGGTCAGCATGTTTAGATACTAGGAGGTCAAACACACTTTGATGTCTTTTGAAGGCTGCCATCATTACAGGAGTCAACCCGTTCTGTCCTCTAGTATTGACATTTGAAGGGGACACAAGATATTGTACTATGGCGGTGTTACCACCCAAACAGGCATTATGAAGTAAACTATCACCGTTGTTCTCCACCAGTGTCAGGTCAGCATCTTTAGATACTAGGAGGTCAAACGCACTTTGATGTCCTTTGAAGGCTGCCATCATTACAGGAGTCCACCCGTTCTCTCCTCTAGTATTGACATTTGAAGGGGACACAAGATGTTGTACTATGACCGTGTTACCACCATAACAGGCAACATGAAGTAAACTATTGCCATTTTTGTCCACCAGTGTCAGGTCAGCATCTTTAGATACCAGGAGGTCAAACACACTTTGATGTCCTTTGCTGGCTGCCATCATTACGGGTGTCCATCCATACTGTCCTCTAGTATTGATATTTGAAGGGGACACAAGATATTGTACTATGGCGGTGTTACCGCCATAACAGGCAACATGAAATAAACCATTGCCGTCTTTGTCCACCAGTGTCAGGTCAGCATTTTTAGATACTAGGAGGTCAACCACACTTTGGTGTCCTTTGAAGGCTGCCATCATTACAGGAGTCCTCCCATACTGTCCTCTAGTATTGACATTTGAAGGGGACACAAGATGTTGTACTATAGCCTCGTTACCACCCTTACAGGCTAGGTGAACTATGTCATCTCCATTGTAGTCTTTGGTTTTCTTGTTTGATATTGATTGCAATACCTGATAGCAATCATTAGATCCTGTGAGTGCTGCAACCATAAGAGGAGTCCAGCCTTCATTATCTGTAGAGTTCATCACTTTATCCTTCAACTCATCATTAAAGTGTTTGATGTCGTGTTCTTTTAATACCGCTAGTGTCTTCTCATGTCCTGCCATGCATGCTAGGTGTATGATGGTTTTCTTGTCTGCATCAGTACTTAATACATTGGCACCATTTTCTATTAGATAAACAAGAATTTCCGAACTCCCATTTGCAGCTGCCGACAAAAGCAAACTGTTAATACCAATGTCTGGACTTTCACTTCTGGAGAAAAGCCACTTTAATGCGGTCAGGTTATTTTTGAACACACAACCTAACATCGCTTCACTGATCTCTGTTTGAGTAAATTCTTCTCGGGTTATGTTTTCTATTTCAAAGACAAAATTGTTATTATGTCCAAGAACTGCCCAAAACAAAAAGCAATGCTCCTTTTCTCTCTTGTGGACCCAGTATTCGTCCATGGATCCATCATGTTGTAGTTTCTCAAGTAATTGAAGAGCTACTTGTTCTTGTTGGAGAATGGGGTGTGTCACTGATTTTGAAAACTGACCATTCTTTATTGACTCAGCAAATCGTGTAGTTAGGATGTCATAATATGCTTCGGAGACATAGATCAGGTGTAGATGATCATCAATGTTGGTTTCTTGTTCTGGCTGTGGTTGCACGCGCTCATATATAAAATTGTCACTGCAATGAGTCAGCACAAATGTTGGACTGATGGCAAAAAACGAACAAGCGCAAGCGTCAGATATCGAGGAATGGGCAAATCCAACAACATCACCACGGGTAAAGAATGTTCCTCTAAAGGTTGTTGCCGCTTCGTGCATTCCTAAACGTGAAGCTTTTGGCCGTAACTCAAAAACAGTTCTGACCATGATGTCCAGTTTCTGGTCCTTGCCTTCTGCTTGCAACTTGGCCAAATCTAACTTATCCTCACACAGTAGCATTAGAATTAATACGGCAGATCGATCAGTGTTGGAATTCAGTAATTTTCCAAGTTCTAGCTTGAGATAAAATAGAGGCTCCTTGAAAAAGTTCCTTGCATTTCGGGTAAAAGATGGAAATTCAAAAAAAAGTTTACAAGTAAGAGGAATTCCAAAAATATTTGAATCTGTGTCCAAGTCTTCATAATCAGGTAGATCTTCACCATCTTTATCAGAAGATTCTCTGTGTCGATTCCTATGGTGTTCATATATAGCCTTTTTCTCTGCTTGAGTATACCGGTGTTGCTTCTGAGTTGTTAAATCCATTACTGTTTGACTCTTGAACAGTGAGAATCTCTCATACTGCAGCTGGGCAAGCCCAGCTTTGAAGTTATATGTCTTGGATGTGAAGATAACACGAATATCCTTTTTGGGATGTTCTTTTGGGTCAGAAACTCCACTCATTTTACTTTCATCTTTACCTTCTTTCTTAGTTCGCTGCTTTCGTTTCTCAGATTCTCTTTTGCAGTGTTGTAAGTGTTGATAAAGTCTATTGAGAATTGTTGTAAGCTGTGAAACATCTGTAGATAACCCAACAGTACCAAACATATCATCTATGATCAGAAATACTCTAGGTGATGAGCTCAAGAAGCTATCCAAGTCAAACTGTTCAATTCTGTCCACAAATGCAAGTTTGTACCCCTTTTGTCTGTACTGTGAACCCAGCACGAGAGCTGCTGTAGTTTTACCTTCCCCTGAAGCACCACAGATGGTGACATGACCAAAATCCTTCAGTTTCCCTTTCACATTCCTGAAGCTCTCCGTTTCAACAAATATTTCTTCGGCATCATCTATACGGAGATCAAGGGTAGCTACAAATAAAAACAATCTTGTTATTTCTTTTATAATGAAATAATATTATTATTAAGAATGCTTCTGCTGTGGGTTTATAATCCATGTTTTGAATATTTGGCATAAAGAACTGTTTGTCTCGACTCATGATTCCTAAATTCTAGCTTCTCTCTCTCTCTACCCAGGAAATCACAGTCTAGTTAGTTTTAAATAAATAGTTGTGAAATTGTTCAATTTGATAACAGTATTTAAGAACAAAATAACTTACTTGCTAGCAGCAGAAACAATCTTTTTCTAGATTAAAGTTAATTGTTTTAAATATTGAACATGAGTAGTTTATATGTGATGCCGTGAAATGCATGCATCCGCAACATTGCTGATGGTAGCGTCAAACATCATTCACTCACTCGCTCTGATATGTGAGAAATATTAATATGTGAAACATCTTCTACTTTTGTAGGCAACCCTATTGTGCCATAAGCAATATCCATCAGTGTCCTAACTTTTAAGTTTCCTTCAAACCTGTCAAGGTGGTTGGACCTACCTTCACCAACTGTCCCTGTCGGCCCAGTAAATATGTTCTGCGTCCCGACGAGAGTGGTGATGCTATGAGTGACATCGCCTGTCAACACCAATCAATGACACAAGAGTATAACGCTTAATAACATTTTAGAAACACACATGACCTGTGTAGCTCACCTTCTACTGGAGCACATGTGCATTACGTTTTGAATAGTGATATTATTCTTCAGTTTTTTGTAAAGGCTTCAACTCAAATTTCATACCATTATAAACAAGAAGACAGTGCCATCCACATCCCTCACAATCCCTGCAAGCTTACAATTATATACTCTTCAAAAAAAGAAACTTGACATAGATGTAAAACCACTTTTGCCAAATATCTAAAATAATAACATTAAATGAGAACCAGATAAGTCAAACAGAAAGATGATGTGTCTATAATTCGCTCAAACACATGCAAAGCACATAAACGTAGCGTTTGAGGATCAATTTTACAGCTTCATCCAAACGCAACAGGATCCTGCATTTAGGCATGCAGGCCCCCCTGCTGAATGGGTATAAAAATCCACATCAACGTCTGTTCATACAGTCCTTATAACGGCAGTAGAGGCGGTGACAGAATGCCAAGACTGAATGCAGCTCAACGGAACAACGCCATTGGGATATTACAAGCTGGAGCAACTCAGCAAGAAGTGGCCAGGCACTTTGGCGTATCCAGACAGACAATCTCCGCACTGTGGACCCGAAACACCAACACCAAGAGGGTTGACGACAGACCAAGGTCAGGAAGACCAAGGGTGACAACCCAAGCACAAGATCGATACATCCGGCTGCGACACCTCCCAGACCGCACTACCACAGCCACATCTACAACCACACAGATCCCTGGGGTAAGCAGAATATCAGATCAAACGGTATGCAACAGACTGAGGGAGGCTGGACGTTTTGCACGAAGACCTGTTCGACGTCATGTATTGACCCCACGTCATCTTGCGGACCGTCTGGTTTGGTGCTTGTACTAGTTTGAACTAATGCCGATTTTATAGGTATCATGAGGTATGATGCCGCGGTTTAACAAGACTTCCCTACTCAGACACAGTATACTGACGACGAGCCGACCAGCCTTATATGAGCCCCTTAGTACCGGGCGCCAGGCAGGGAAACAACAAGTACCATGTTTTAACGTCTTTTGGTATGACGCCGCCTGGGATCGAACCTCGGACGCTCTACCATTAGACCATGGAGGCGGTCTTTGAACGTGAGTGTTGAAAGTGTGTACTATGTAAATAAACATGTCCTGAATAATTCTGCAGAAGAAACGACACCCAATGCCTCATATTGGAGACGAAGTGCAAACTGGTATCCATAGAAACAGAACAAATACATTTACTGATGAAACCATGATAGCAAAAGGCACAGCTACAGAAGATGGTGAGCTTTCTCCTTCCACACAAGACAAACACATTTATCCCAGTGTTTACGTCCACGTTGGATTTGTTAATCTAGTCTCCTGTTACAATGTTAAATAATCACCTGATGAAGATAAGCTTGGTTTTGGTTATATTTTCTATCATCAATCAATTATACATGGAATTGGGCCACACATCTGCCTTTGAAGGTACAGTACTTAATCGTTGATTTCAGGTGATTTGGTCACTTTATGTTTTAAAATGATTTCTTGGTTGATTAATTGTGAAATAGAAATGCCAACAGACCTGAGTTGATAGTCTGTGGAATACCCTCTGAGGTGATAAGCTCCATCATCTCGTCTTCAGGGTCATCCTGTGTTGGCAACACAATTGTGAGGTCATCTGAACTGGCCATCTCAGGTGTAGTTGTTCACATAACTACAGCACGTAGGGAAGAAGTTGCCGCTGTCATGTCTATCTACCTGAACAAACAAACAACCGTATCCCATAATTCATAACACATTTTATTAATGCTGAGCAGTGGTAGACTGTCCAAACCTCATTGCAACCTCTGAAGAATTATTTACAGTAGCTAACAATAGCAATATTACAATTATGATTGATTACACAATGAATAAAAGACTCAAAGTCTGTATTGATTAACCCTTACAGATGTTTTGTCCAATATGCCCCACATAGGTACAATACCCCACATGGGTACAATACCCCACAAGGGTACAATACCCAACATCGGTACAATGCCCATCATGGGTACAATACCCCACATGGGTACAATACCCCATATGGGTACAATACCCTACATGGCTACAATGCCCCACATGGGTACAATACCCCACATGCCAATACCCCACATGAGTACAAAGCCCATCATGGGTACAATACCCACATGTGTACAATGCTCCACATAGGTACAATACCCAATATGGGCACAATAACCCGAATGGGTACAACCCCACATGGGTACAATACCCAACATGGGTACAATACTCCACATGGGTACATACCCCTCATTGGTACAATGTCCCTTATTGGTACAATGACCCACATAGGTACAATACCCCTCATGGGTAAAATACCCATAAGGGTACCATACATCACATGGGTACAATCCCCCAAAGGGTACAAAACCCCACATGGGTAAAATACCTATAAGGGTACAATACCTCACATGGGTACAATGCTCCACAAGGGTGCAATGCCCCACATGGGTACAATGCCCAAAATGGGTACAATACCTCACATGGGTGAAATGCCCATCATGGGTACAATGGCCTACATGGGTACATTACCCCACATGGGTACAATACCCCACATGGGAACAATACCCAACATGGGTATAATACCCAACATGGGAACAATGACCCACATAGGTACAATGCCTATTATGGGAACATAGTCCCACATGGGTACAATACCCCACAAGGGTACAATACCCCACAAAGGTACAATGCCCCACATGGGTACAATACCCATCATCGGTACAATACCCCACATGGGTACAATGCATCACAAGGGTACAATACCCCATATGGGCACAATACCCCGCATGGGTACAATACCCCACATGGGTACAATGCCCCACATAGGTACAATGCCCCCCATGGGTACAATCCCCCAAAAGGGTACAATACCCAACATGGGTATAATACCCCATATGGGTACAATGCCCCACATGCGTACAAGGCTCCACATGGGTACAATACCCCACATCGGTACAATAACCCACATGGATACAATGCCCCATATGCGTACAACGCCACACATAGGTACAAGGCTCCACATGGGTCAAATACCCCTCATTGGTACAATACATCACATGGGTACAGTGCCCTACATGTTTACAATGCCCCCAAAGGGTACAATGACTATAAGGGTACAATACCTCACATGGGCACAATGCCCCAGATCGGTACAATACCCCACTTGGGTACAATGCCGCATATGGGTACAATACCCAACATGGGTACAATACCACACATGGGTACAATGCCAATCATGGGTACAATGGCCTACATGGGTACAATATCCCACATGGGTACAATACCCCACATGGGTATAATACACCACATGGGAACAACGCCCCACATGGGTACAACGCCCATCATGGGAACAATGCCACACATGGGTACAATAACCTACAAGGGTACAATACATCACATGGGTACAATGCCTCGCATGGGTACAATGCCCCCAAAGGGTACAAAACCCCAAATGGGTAAAAAACCTATAAGGGTACAATACCTCACATGGGTACAATGCTCCACAAGGGTACAATGCCCCACATGGGTACAATGCCCCCCATGGGTACAATACCCCACATGAATACAATGCCCAACATGAGTACAATACCCCACATTGGTACAATGCCCCACTTGTGTACAAGGCCCCACATGGGTACAAGGCCCCACATTGGTACAATGCCCCACATGGGTACAATCCCCCAAAAGGGTACAATACCCAACATGGTTATTATACCCCATATGGGTACAATACCCCACATGGGTACAATGCCCCACATGCGTACAGGGCTCCACATATGTACAATACCCCACATGGGTACAATAACCCACATGGGCACAATGCCCCATATGCGTACAACGCCACACATAGGTACAAGGCTCCACATGGGTCAAATACCCCTCATTGGTACAATACATCACATGGGTACAGTGCCCTACATGGGTACAATGACTATAAGGGTACAATATCTCACATGGGCACAATGCCCCAGATGGGTACAATATCCCCCATGGGTAAATTGCCTATAAAGGTACAATACCTCACATAGGTACAATACACCACATGGGTACAATGCCGCATATGGGTACAATACCCCACATGGCTAAAATACCACACATGGGTACAATGCCCATCATGGGTACAAGGGCCTACATGGGTACAATACCCCACATGGGTACAATACACCACATGGGTATAATACACCACATGGGAACAACGCCCCACATGGGTACAACGCCCATCATGGGAACAATGCACCACATGGGTACAATAACCTACAAGTGTACAATACCCCCAATGGGTAAAATGCCAAGCTTGGGTAGAATGCCCCACATGGGTACAATACCCAACATGGGTACAATGTCCTACATGGGTACAATACTCCACATGGGTACAATGCTCTACATGCCAATACCCCACATGAGTACAATGCCCATCATGGGTACAATAGCCCACATGTCTACAATGCTCAACATGGGTACAATACCCCATATGGGCACAATAACCCGAATGGGTACAACCCCATATTGGTACAATACAGCACATTGGTACAATACTCCACATTGGTACAATGCCCCTTATTGGTACAATCCCCCACATAGGTACAATGCCCCACAAAGGTACAATACCCCTCATGGGTAAAATTCCCATCAGGGTACAATACATAACATGGGTACAATGCCTCAGATGGGAACAATGCCCCTAAAGGGTACAAAACCCCACATGGGTAAAATACACCACATGGGTGCAATGCCCCATATGGGTACAATACCCCACATCGCTAAAATACCACACATGGGTACAATGCCCATCATGGGTACAGGGGCCTACATGGGTACAATACCCCACTTGGGTATTATACCCCACATTGGAACAATACCCCACATGGGTATAATACACCACCTGGGAACAACGCCCCACATGGGTACAATGCCCCACATAGGTACAATGCCTCACAAAGGTACAATACCCCTCATGGGTAAAATTCCCATCAGGGTACAATACATCACATGGGTACAATGCCTCAGATGGGAACAATGCCCCTTAAGGGTACAAAACCCCACATGGGTAAAATACCTATAAGGGGACAATACTTCACATGGGTACAATGCTCCACAAGGGTACAATGCCCCAGATGGGTACATTGCCCCACATGGGTACAATACCCCACATGGGTACAATGCCCCACATGGGTACAATACCTCACATGAGTGTAATGCCCATCATGGGTACAATGGCCTACATGGGAACAACACCCAACATGGGTATAATACCCAACATGGGAACAATGGCCCACATAGGTACAATGCCTATCATGGGAACATAGCCCCACATTGGTACAATACCCAACAAGAGTACAATACCCCACAAAGGTACAATGCCCCACATGGGTACAAAACCCATCATCGGTACAATACCCCACATGGGTACAATGCTCCACAAAGGTACTATACCCCCTATGGGCACAATGCTCCACAAGGGTACAATGCCCCACATGGGTACAACGCCCCACATGGGTACAATACCCCACATGGGTACAATGCCCACATGGGAACAATGCCCCACATGGGTACAATACCCATCATGGGTACAATACCCCACAAAGGTACAATGCCCCACAAAGGTACAATACCCCACAAGGGTACACACCCCACATGGGTACAATGCCCAACATGTGTACAAGGCCCCACATTGCTACAATGCCCCACATTGCTACAATGCCCCACATTGGTACAATGCCCCACATTGCTACAATGCCCCACATTGGTACAATGCCCCACATTGGTACAATGCCCGACATTGGTACAATGCCCCACATGGGAAGAATGTTCGACATCCGTACAAGGCTCCACATGGGTACAATACCCCACATGGGTACAATGCCCCACAAGGGTACAATACCCCCCCGGGGTAAAATGCTACGCTTGGGTACAATGCCCCACATGGGTACAATACCCCACATGGGTACAATGCCCTACATGGGTACAATACCCATCATGGGTACAATACCCAACATGGGTACAATGCCCAACATGGGTACATTACCCTATATGGGTACAATACCCTACATGGCTACAATGCCCCGTATGGGTACAATACCCTACATGGCTACAATGCCCCGTATGGGTACAATACCCCACATGAGTACAATTCCAATCATGGGTACAATACCCCATATGGATACAATGCTCCACATGGGTACATTACCCCTTATGGACACAATAACCCGAATCGGTACAACCCCACATGGGTACAATGCCCCACGTGGTTACAATACCCCTCATTGGTACAATCCCACTCATTGGTACAATGCCCCACAGGTACAAATGCCACGCTTGGGTACAATGCCCCTCATGGGTAAAATGCCCATAAGGGTACAAAACATCACAGGGGTACAATGCCTCACATGGGTACAATGCCCCCAAAGGGTACAATACCCCACATGGGTAAAATACCTATTAGGGTACAATACATCACATGGGTACAATGCTCCTCATCGGTACAATGCCCCACATGGGTACAATACCCAACATGGGTACAATACCCCATATGGGTACAATACCCAACATGGGTACAATACCCTGCGTGGGTACAATGCCCCACAAGTGTACAAGGCCCCACATTGGTACAATCCCCCCATAGGTACAATGCCCCCAAAGGGTACAATAACCCCCATGGGTACAATACCCCACAAGTGTACAAGGCCCCACATGGGTACAAT